GGTCATGCGTGTAGTAGGACAGCAGGAATAAGATGTGGTGTGTATGTGCAGGCTGGCGGCGGAGGAGCAGATGTACCTGGAGCGCGTGTTCCGCGGCGGCGTCGGCGTGGGCTGGCTGCCGCCCTACGCGCTGTACCCGCCGCTCGCGCCGCCGCTGCCCCTCGTGCACCATCTGCACGACGACAGGGACAAGGACCTCGCGCTGCAGCGCGAGCGGGACCGCGAGCGCGAGAGGGAGAGGGAGCGCGAGCGGGAGAGGTACTACACATACTTTATTTTTAACTGTGGTGTCATAAGCGATGATATGATTTTAAAGTTTTACGATGGATACAATATACGATTAATTTCGAGCTATACAAGGATTCTAGTTAGGGTTGGAGCCAAAAAAGAAATTCGAGGATTAGTTGTAACAAATTGTTTATAATATGGTCTATTTTTTTAGGTGCTTAACTAAACGTATCTTGGTTTTTTTTTTGTATAAAATAGATATAAAAAAAATATTTAGTTACAGTTTTTATTCTGTACAATTTTTAGACGAATGTTTAGATTCAAGAACATGCCAAGACTATTTGAATTTAGTTAATTAGTTTAATCAATTTACCATATTTGTCTACGATTTACACACATTATAATGTTGATTTATTTAAAATTCACAGAGAAAGAGAGCGTGAGCGAGAACAGCGAGAGAAAGAACAGCGCGAGCGAGAGCGAATGCAGCGAGAGAAGGAGAGAGCGAGAGACGAGCAGCGCGCGCTGGCGGCGGCGCTGCATCCGCACGCCGCGCATGCGCACGCCGCGCACGCGCACGCCGCGCACCTACTGCCGCCGCCCGCCTACCTCGCGCGCGGCCTGCTGCCGCCGCCGCTGCTCTACCGCCCCTACCGGCCCTACCCGCCGCCGCCGCACGCGCCCCACGCCGCGCCCCACCCCGCCCCGCACCCCGCGCCCCACCCCGCGCCGCACGCCGCGTCCCACGCGCCGCTGCCGCTGGCGCTGACGCAGCAAGCGCAGCACACGCCGCCGCCGGCCGAGGCGAGCGTGCCCCCGGCCGCGGCGGCGCCCAGCCCGGCCGCGCGGCCCGAGCGGCCCGAGCCCGCGCCGGAGCCCGAGCGGCCGGCGTCGCAGCCCGCGCCGCCGCCGGCGCCGGCGTCCCCCGCGGAGGAGGCGCCCAGGCCCGCAGGTGACGAGGCGCCGGCCTGACCGCACCACCGCGCCCCCCTCGCCCCCCTCGCCACACTCACCGCAGTGCTTCCCCGACGACTCCTTACTACCGTACCACTAAACATCTTCAACATACTCTACGAAATTTTTTCAATGTACAAAACTTGTCATCTCGTGCTAGTAATCTCATGCGAGGACAGCAAAATACAAATAAAATAATAGTACGTAACTACTCGACAGCGATATGCATACGTTGCATTGATCACTATCGCCATCTTACGTCAATGTTGTACATACATATTTTTGTTGTATTTTCTCTTAAGTTCTGTCCCCGCATGTGATTATCTAAAGACAAGTCACACGATTTGTATCCGCAACTTGTCATGTATCGAGCCGACACAAACAATATCACTAAGCAAATTCTCTTCAGACGAATTCAGTCACTAACACAAGAAATATTTTTTGAACAGCAATGAACGGTGAGAAATGAAAATATCATATTTTTTGTAATATTTTTATATCACACACAATACAACCGTGTTACATTGCATAGAAGTACTTGAGACCTGAAGAAATGTACATTCGATAGGTCGGCCTCTACAATGACAAATACTAATTGAGATTACGTTCCTTTCCTGTACCTCCCACCCATTCCATACAACAGTGATACTGATTACTAGTAATAAATAATGAATTGTTTCAAGAACTTACACTGTCACGGCTCTCATGTATCAATTTTCAATACTTTACAATCATGTTTATAAGATTCTCTCCATTTTTTAAAGCTCACTGTAATCTCGGATCCTAGAATTATCTTAAATCTCATTTTTTCTATCCTAATTATGTGAATTAAAAGATCTCGAGATTATAATAGCTTCAAGAAATTGATTTTTAATTTTGTTACATTAAAAAGTTCAAATGCGCTTTTATTTACGTGATTTTTAACAGCCGATTATAACATTTTCTTACAGAAAAAGAATCAGGGAATGAGTGTAAATGAAGTTAAATTGTGCTTTAGGCGTCACGTAATAAAAGTTATTTTGACTTGACTGAAATCGTTGCTACAATTTTATAAAATTTTATATACAGCTGTATCCCTGTATTCCATAATTGTATCTTCCAAGAGCGAGAAACTTGATTCATTGATTGATGTAATGTAACGTGTGTGTGCTTTTATCGAAACGGTTTTAGTAAATCATGTTTGTTTGAAGTGTGGGCAGTAAACGTGAAGTTTGTATGTATTTGTACGCCTCCAAGTGTAATTGTTCCGTGAGGTAACGAAGTACTTACGACGCGACGTGCTACATATTTGTTATTCAGTTTTGTTGTTTAATTGGTCGCTTGCATTCTCCGCCTGAGGTTTGTAGTGTTACGCAAGAGATGGGCGTTCTAGTCCATGTTGTATCCCGGCCCCGTCAATATAACAATTTGAACAGAAACGTGCCGGGAACAGTCATATATCGCATACTAAGTAAACTAATGTTTGTTTGTACGTTGATTCCAACGCGTTGACCTAGTGTTTGTATATACTCTGACAATAACTTGCTGGTTTGATGTTTGTCTCTTTGACAATAATTTTATTGTTATATTAATTTATTACTTATTCAAGTCATCATTTTCGTAATGAATTGTTTACTGATTCCTAAATAACTTTTCATTTTATATTGTTTGTTAAATCCATTATACATCTGACATTAATGATTGTTACTTTAAGCCAGTCTTCTGTACCGTCTGTCGTCATGTTGCTATACAGTTTGTAATGTTTAAGTTATGTACGTGTAGTATATAAGAATCAGTTTCGATAGAAGTGCACGAGCACCGCGGCCTGGTCCGGCCGAGTTCGTACATAGGGTCGCCCCCAACTATTCACATTGTGATTCACTCTGCTATGATCAAAGTTGACGAATAAACGACTGCCCGGCGCAGACTGTACCTAGCTAGGATGTGCGGTTATTTAAAATTATATATACATGTAGGTGTAAAGAAATGTATCGATCGATAATGCACGAATTATATAGGTAGGGCGCGGAGCGGCGCGGCCAGTGCGCCGGGTCGCTGCCGCTAATTATTTTATTTGTATTTCGCTCGTCCGGGGTCTTCGTAACTTAAGTAGTCTCTAAGTTGTGCCCTGCGGGGCTCGCGTGCAATCTGCTTCGCAATATAAAACTCTACTGCATTTGTGATAAGACTTGATTCCCGTTGCAGTATTCGCGACCATGACCCCGCGCGACCGACGACTGCAGTGTTTAACGAAACATTGAATAAAAAACACGAAATTTTATAACAAAAAAACCTCTTTATACGTTAACTTAGATAGTTATTATTAATTTTAGCTTTTAATAGGTGTTCAATATTTTTCAATCTTTTTTTCAATCACGAGCAGCATTTAGGCGGACGACGTGTTGTCGTATTCCAAGTGTCAGTGTCCGATATGTCATGTAAATATTATATTTAATAGTTAGATATGATATGGACAATACCTAACAAGTGAAAAAATGGTTTTATTGAAAAATACATTCAATGAAATTAATAGTGTGCATGCTAGCGGGCCGGCGAGGTAGCGAGCTCTAGCCTCGCGTCCCCGCCGCCCGCGTAGTCACTTTTATTTTTGTTTGACCCTCCCTCTCCCCAGCTTGAAGTTAGCATGTAGTTAGTATTTGTGCAGCTTCTAGGTAGTGCAGCCATACACGACAGGATGTATGAGTACCGTGCAATCAGCACATTCAAGTAACTGAGCACTAAACACAAGCAAATCATAATGCTGACTAGTACGAGATATTTCAGGACCACAGCGTGATATGAACAAACTGAGAAAAAGGTTTAAATAAATTTTGGAACTTGTGGGAACTTAGGTGCGATTGCTAGATGACCTGGGTTCAGTGGCCGGGTCAAGTTTTTTGCTACGAATTATTCAACTTACGCTTTATTTTGAACAGTAAAAAACTACTTTTTCACTCACTCCCAGTCTTTATCGAATAACAATTCGAATTGTTTTTTAGCTCACGAAATGTTTACATATTATTTCTGAATGGGTAGGTTGGGCTGGGGTCCACATTATACCCTAATCAGAACAAATGTCAATTTAATATAACCATTAGTATACAGTTTCTAGAATCTACGCCAATGTTGGCACTACACACACATCTCTCGAGTAACTACTGTTACTTATGTTTCATAAAAAAATAAATCACCCCAAGGTTTTGGCTAGCGTTAAAACTAAGCATTCAATATCTCTAATATAATAATAGCTATTCCTGGCAAGGCCAGATTTTGACGTGGTGGAGATAAGTTCCCATATATAGTTGTTCCATTAAATTATCAACACAAATTCATAGTCTTGTCCATAAGTAAACTTTCTACTTAGTAGACATGATTACAAGCAAATGCTAGTTATAATAAGGTAATACATAATGTGCTAATTCCGAAATGTTTATAGCTATATTGATTGAACAAGCAGCTGATTAGCTTCGAACAAATCAAAGTTTCAGAATTATAATCGATCATGACAAATTATTTAGAAAATCGGTAAATAGACCGCAATTTACGCCATCTACCTATGTATAAGCTTGTTACAAATCCACACACATCAAAATTTATTTAGGTAGATTAACTTTGTAATAGCTACCACTTGCTATATCTACAAGTAGGTTTTCAATATACTTAGATTTATGCCCGATACAGAGCTAAGGCAGAGAGTAGTCCAAGAATTTAATAAGTATAGACGAAGAGCAAGTCAGCTGTTATCCTGACAAGTCCCAAGTGTCATCTACCAAGCTATCAAAACAAACGTAACAATTTTGTACCTAAAGTTAAATAACAACATAAAAAAATGCTTCGCTATGGCGCGGCCCATACCGCACGCTGACTTGCGGCTCTTGCCGAAACAGGGCGACAAGGAGAATAAACCTAAAGATAGCCAATCGTTTCTAGACATCACAATAGATGGTATTAAGAATACAACTAGTAAGAACCTCTTACTAGGGACTGTTACGGGTTGGGCCGCGGGCGTGTCGGTCGTCCGAGTGGGCAGGATCGCGGCGTTCGGGCTCGGGGGCGGCATCATCCTTCTTCACTTCGCCGCCGAGTTCGGCTACATAAACGTAAACTGGGACAGAGTGAAGGAGACGGCGGGGGAGAGCCAGCAGTGGCTGGACAGAGTACTCCGCTTCGTCAAGAAGAACAACTGCTTCTCTGTCGGTTTCATGGGCGGGTTCTTCTTCGGCGTGGCTTCCACGTAATGTTAGGTAAAGTGCTTACTCTACGATGAAATTGTAATTATTATTAAACATACTTATTACAACTGTTAGGTATCTTGTGGTTTGATTGTTTGATTGCATTTAGTTATTTGCTAAAAAGGCTAATTTCATACATACCTGTCAATCGCAACAAGTAAGATTTGTTGCAATGGTAAGATGATAACCAGATAAAGAGTTAGGTTCTGGAATAGCTAAGAATATCTCTATCTGCCTACCGACCTAGGTACCGTTTCGATATGGCCATTTCCACAAACCTGCCACAAAGCTACCCACCGATTGGCCACCTGAGTTCATTTACATTTCACTTCTATTTAATCCACAATCGAAATAGCAATAAAATGAACTACAATATGAGGCCAGATTGCCAAATAAATTGAAATGACAGAACTTGAGCAGTAGGTAAAATAATTATCCACTGAATTAGATAAAACAATAAAACTGTAGAGCATCAAAGTATGGAGGGAATCCCGACCGAGTGGGTAAGGCGAGAATTCGGGACGACGCCGACGCAACAGGTTGTGAACCGATGCCGTTGCGAGCTAGCTGACCTGCAGGCTACAGGTTTGTGCTCCTAAATATAACGGCAAAGGAAATGCAATGATAAATGTTATGTGAGGCGAAACGAAACGTATCTTGACTAGGTACCTACTACACTGTACATTTCATGACGAAAAAAATATGTTATATCTAAAGACTAGGGTTAACAACGGCTTCGCCCGCAGTAAAAGTGTTATTCCAGACTATAATCTAAATGTAGTTTTTACGTGAAAAGTAATAAATATGCATCAATCGATACCTACTTACAAACATATGAACAAGTTTTTTTGTTTTACCTGGACGTAAGGAGAAATACCTACATCATTGTCTTCAGGTTAATTGCGAGCACAATACACCTTATCGCACTATTTCGTACATTTCGATTTGAATAACTTTGTTACTGAATGGCACGCACACTAAAAATGGATACTTCGTGTAACTTGATTAAAATTAAATTACCTATTAGGTATTATAATTACAAAATAAAATAATCCTCGTCGACCATCGACATCCCTAGAATGATTTGAAAAGCGCGGTAAAAATAATGGCGGCTTCCAATTTATGGCAATCCTCTGCTCTGATTGGACGTAAGATGTTATATGTATACCACAGACAAACTTTTAAAGATACTTGGGCAAACTATAAAGGTATTTGGGACTTACCTACTTGGAAAATAAGTTTACGTAGGTATAAATGACAATTTTGGTAGGTAAACATTGTATTTTTTTTTAAATTAAGGTTTCTTAAGTAGTTAAAGATATTTTTGATGGAGATTTTAAGGTAAAATAAACACCATCCTCTTAACATTCGAGTTATACTTGCAAAATTAAACAGACGATCGTGCCTTCTAACAGCGAGATCATCAGCTTGTATTAGCATTTACTTGTACGACAATGATCGCGACCCGCCAGTGGCAGGCTACAATTTTATTGGTGTAAGTATTCGACGACGAAATTACAAAGTAGGTAAATACTACTCAGAAACAAGAACCAACAACTCAAGATAAATAGTACATATATCTAAAGAGTAAATGGCAGAACGAATCACTTCTACCTACTTATAAAATGTTGGGTTCGACTCCCAAGTAAAACGACAGAGGTTCTATCAAAGCCTAATCGTTTATTTCATTAATACCTACCATTAAAAGGCCCTTTTTAACATCAAACTAAACTTTTTAAGATAAAAAGTGTCTGCTGGTCAGTCCCTTAGTAAAGCCATTTGCTCGTTTGCAAGAAGTGTTGATGGTCAAAATTTCTATACATTAGAAGAAACAAAAAATGCATTTGTTCATTTTCATAAGAATCGAACAAATAGGTATCTATTTGTAACGTATTAAGTTGGTTCAATTGTGAGAGAAGCTATCAGTGCTCACATAACAAAATAGGTGAAAAGATAAAATATATGTAATGTTAACAACAAATAGCTAATCGTACGAGAAACGATATCTAAGCAGGATAATAAATTCGTAGGTGAAAATTATTGTAATCATGGGTTCAAAGTACATCGAGGGATTGGAACAGTTTGCCGGCTGCAGTCTTTCCGTCCGAATACAATTTAGGTGTCTTCAAGGCAAGAGTGAATAGGCTCTTAATAAACTAGTGCGCCTTACCATCAACGATTGCATCACTGCTTACCATCAGGTGGGATCGCAGTCAAGCACTAGTTTATTGCAAGTAAAAAAAAGGCCAGATCTGGACAAATGAGAAGATTTTAATATTCTGATATGTGACACTAATATGCCTACTTACACATTGATAACGAATATGTACATATCTACATATAAAACGATTGGTAGGTAAACGTAGATGAAGTGAAAGAGGCAATTAAAAATGCCAAAATTATGCATCATCTAAGGAAGAACGAAAAAGAAGTAGTAATTTATTTGGCACCAAGGATATTTAGGTCCAACAATGTCAAAAAACAAAGTAAAAATAAAAAAGGATTCATCACTGTTTATCCCAGCGGAAAGTAATGTTAATATGCTTGACAAAATACAGCAACAAACGATAGTAGGTAGTTGTTTTTCGCGCGCTCAGCCCAAGCACCACAGCCAAGGGATGCTCCACCGTGTCCTTATGGTGATGACACTCAAGTGTTTCCTTCCGCGGAACCGGCGTCACGCCTGAAGCTACAGGGAAGCCGGCATGGGATAGACAGCGGATACCTATTTATTAGTTTTTAAGGTTTAAAATCAGACCTAAAATTTAAAATCAAAGCATTCTTTTTACCTATTTCATAACCTATTTACTAACCGAAGCGATCTTTCTTCTTCTTCGTCAGATATATTTTTTAAATAAATATCTTACGGTAGGTAAGCACTTATAGAGATTATATAAAATACCTAGGTATAAATAATTCACAGTGCATGATAGATACGCTTATACAACGCTTGCTATACTGAGATCAACATATTACGTATACACTGAGAAATATTAGCGTTTAAGATTTTTGTATTCCCAACTTCGGGAATGAGGTTAGGTGCGGTAATATAATTCAAAAAATTCAATCTTGAAACACCCATATTTCTCAGTGGATAAGTTTTTAATGTAGATTTTTGTGTTTACTTCGCAAACCTTCCCAACTCCTTATTTTAGCATGAATATTATTATTTTGTTAGGTATAAGCATCAAATTGAAATGATCATTCGAAAAAGACTGCTCGTCCTTTCTAGGGACATTAGTAGGTAAGCCTATGGTAGAGTTGTAGGATAGTAGTAAGAATTGTAGCATAGGCTATAAATTGAATAGTATCAGCTCTAGATTTATAAGTCAACGATATCTTGAGTTGGCTGTTAGATCTATGTAATAACAAGCATATACAATGAGGTGTAAACTCTGAAGATAAAACAACTACTTACTTGCTTTTTTTATAAAAAAAACCTATCATTCTATTTTTAAAAAGCGTTTTCTACTTTGATATTTTCTCTTGTGTCGTAAGGGTATTTACAAACATATACATTCAAAATCACGTCACACAACAACTACTTACTTACTTTTTTGTATATAGAATATATTGTCCCACTATTAAAAACCATAAACAAGTACGTAATTAATTATAGAAGTCACAGTACATTTTCTTATCAATCAATGAATTAAGAAGGAGTTATCATTCGCGTATTTTAGGTAAACAGTAAGTTCTTGAAACAAAGCAGTAAGTTTAAGGTAATGTTATTTATTTACAGGGTAAAACAGCATTGCTAATAAATTAATAGAAATTATTTTTATGTTACAGTAATTCTCCCCGTGAAACCAATCCTGGAGCAGGAGCGGGCGCTACCACCGGAACCTATTCCACCGAAACCTCCAGAACTCTATCGACCTGACGAAATCATGTTTGAAAAACCCGTGTTTCCCATCCCAACGAAACCTATCCCACATTCTCCAAAAATCTCCCCATCATCGATCCCAAATCCCAATCCAAGCGTTATGACTCCAAAGCAAGTGGACGGGTACCCCAATTTCGGAAGCTACCTTTACTCAATACCAGGATATTCGGCGTTTCAACCTATCAATTCGGTTCAATACCCGCCTATTATTCCATCAACCATGCCTCCTTCCATACAGTCCGAAGTTTCGACTTCAGATTACATGCCATTCCCAAATATGAATAAAGAACCCCATACGACACCTATGGTTGATGTTGAAACGACAGCTGACATGGAACCATCTAAAGATCTACCAAAACAGCAGACAGACTTCGAGGAGCAATTTACTCCCGAAATAATAACAGCTACTTCCAACACTGAGGTGACCAACCCACAAACGACAGAGTCTAAAATGAGCATCACATCATTAGCACAAGGATCAGGTGCTACGGTCACGATACCCTCACAAATACCAAACAAAGAATTCAAAAAGAAACCAGAACGGTTTAGTTTAAAAACGAGTATACCCATTAGTAAAATAGATATGAAATGTGTAAGTAATCCGCCTGACGCAGCATTCCAAAATTCTTTAACAAAGAAACCATTTACATCTTCTTTCGCCAAAGAATCGTCGCGAGTTGAGATACAGAGTAATATTGTTATAAAATCGGCTACAAAAGAACCAGAAGTGAAAGAACCAAAGCCTAGTATGCCACCAAACAGCAATGTCAGTACATTTATTAATAATACTGAACCGGGTAACAAAACTGATAGTCAGTTTCGAGTGCCGGATCCTAAAGTCGACCTACCGTCTGAAGTAAAAGACACACCTTCTTTGCAGAGACCTTTATTTAACCCAGTTAATATTGAAACAAGTAAAGTTAATTATAACAAGCCACCAGAGCCGTCTTTTAATGAACAAAAAAATCAAATAGTTTTTATACAAAATAAGAACAACACAAATCCAAAAATGTTATTGACGATACAGCAACAGAATCCACAAGTGCTATTGCAAAGAGCTAATTTCGATTCAAAAAACCTGCAAGCTCCTTCACGACTGTCAAACCAAAGTAAGAAATGCAAAGAAGATGTAGTAAATGAAAGTAGTTCGTCGAAAGTGGTTGCATTGAAAAGAATGCACCAAGAGAATTGCGACGAGAATGATTTCGAAAATTTGATAACTGAAAATCAAATATATGGTAATAAGATAGTCGTGAAGGAGAAATCTCAAGGAACATCGCAGGAACAAGATTTGAAAACTAAAAAAGTGACTGAAAAGGTAACGACAACAATAACTGAAACTAAGAACGTAGTTCTTCAACCAAATTTTGTATATCTGAGTAATGTTCAATTTCCCAATTTGATGATGATTAAGAACAATTCGAAAGTTACACAAACTTCCGATTCTAATAAACCAAAATTAGCACCAAAGGAAATAAAAATTGCGCCCGAAATTTCTACGCCCACTACTGTTGCTGCTACAGCAGTTGCCGTACCAGTAGCAATCGCACCAGCAGCCGTGACACCAGCAACAATATGCACTGAAAATATTACAGAAGTCAAATCTTCGAAACCCAGTACTGTAGTGAATCAAGAAGTACAAGTATTAAAAACGAGTAGCAATGTGTTGCAAACTCTTCCTAACATAACAAAGCCTGATATAGTAATCCAAGCCAATCCAACTGTTATTGTTAGCCCACAAATAGTTTACCAGGTACCCATTACCACTATCGTAGATGCTGAAAAAGTAAATCAACCATTTAAAAAGCGAGACTATCAGAAATTTATTGCACCGAAAAAGGAGGCCCCCAAAAAATCTGACCAACGTAAAACGAATGACAAATTATTTATTGCTTGCCCTTACCAAATGGATTCAAAATTACAGCCTAAAATAGTTATCACAAATTTAAGACCGAAAATAAGTAAAGTGGAAGAAGTTAGTTCTTTAGATGATTATGAGAAACGAAAACGTTTAAGACGACTCAAATATTTGTCAAATCGTGACAATAAAGAAGTTAAAACTGATGCCAAACCTGAACCCGCTAAGAAAGTGATTGAAAAAACTGAAATTCGTAACAATATAATTACACCTGATAAAGTCAAAAGTGAAATATACAAAGAGTTTGCAAAAAGCAAACTAGCGGCGCATGATGGTAGTAGTGACAGCGATTCTGATGATTACGGTGAGGACAACTTGAAGGTGTATGAAGAAATTATAGAAGAGTACGGCATTAAAGATGATAGAGAAAAACGGAAAGTTGAATTTATGTCGCATTTAAGACTAGCGACACTACAAGATTATAAAGGTAAGGCCACTTATCTTACGGAAAAGAAAAATAAATATTATCAACATAATTTATGTGAATTTTTAAATGTTACAGTGAAAGACTTGGAGCTACAAGACAAGGTGTTAAGAAATGACTCTGTGGCAGCTGCATACGCTGCAGTGGGTCGCCTTGATGTACTGCGCAACGTACCCGCCGATGAAGAACCTAAAGATGAAGAAATGGATGAAGACAATCCTGTATTTGACGTGCAACCGGAGAACAGAACAGCAATGCAGAGGAAGAAGTTATTTCTGTCGAAATTAAAGTTAACCCAAGTCACGCAGAAATACAAAGAAGGTATGTGGTCAACATGTTTACATCGTCGAAATCTATATTTTATAACAGATAATATAAAAATGTCACTAAGCAAATTATGTATATTATAATTTCAGGCTACGACAAAGTCTGGCAAGAAATATTAAAGGAAAGGAAACGTCGCCATAGTAATCCAGACTTGGATGATAACTGCAAGGAACCACGATTGGGGTTCGATCCTAATTGTCAACTCAGATTATTAACAGAAATCAAAAAGTGTGTCAATGATAATAACAATCTCATCAAAAAGAGATTAGACTCAACATCGAATGGAGATTCGAACGAAGAAAGCATTAAAGTGCTAGCAGAGAAGAATTTCTCTGAACTGAACAGACTATCAAAAATGGCCGACACAAGTGTCAAACTGTTCAAAACACCGAACTCGAGAAAAAGAGACTTAAATCCAGGATTCGACAGCGAAAACATTAAAAATCCAAATATAAGAATACATCAACCATATGAAAACTATCCTAAGATTAAAATTCCGAGTGTAGCGAAGATAATCTCTTTGAAAACGACTCAGGAATGTCCGACTACAACATCGACACAGGCGACATCTATGGATGAGCCCCAGAATTCAGCGGCAGGGGTGACAGAGGTTGTAGAGGAGACAGCGCCACCTGGGGTGACTCGTGACATTGGTTGTCAAGTAGACGAGCCCACGTGGGCCGGGCTGGAGGCACTGGCGAAGAGTTACCGAGAGTACGATGCAGGTGAGGTTATATTTTAGTATTTAGACAAGGGGGAGGGGGGCAAAGATTAAACAACTGCTTCCTGAGTAGAGAGTTAGCAGTGTGACGTGGTACGTCTTTGGTTCGGGATTCACAAGCTTTACCCAATATCTGATAAAAAATAACAGTCTTGTTATATAGATTTTTTGTGATAGGTCGGCAAACGGCAAAAAGTCGTAATTACCTGATGGAAAGCTATCAGCGCCGACCATATACCCGCAATAACGGAGGAGTTATGAATGCATTGCCGACCTTTTGGGGATTAGGTACCTAAGGATTTGGAGAATTTGGGATTAGGGAGGGGAAGGATCACTCACTTAAACGGCGTAACACAACAATGTGGTTGTTTCACGCCGGTTTTTTGTGAGGCTGTGCTATTACTGCGAGCTGACCCATTCGTGCCGAATCATGGCTTTTCCACACTAGAAGACTAAACATTTCTATGAAAAAATAGAAACACAAAAAAAAACAACCCAAAAATCACATCAATAATCTTATAATTTCCCTCACGATTTCAGTTCGCCGAAAAGAAATAATCGAGTTGCACAAACGCAACACTACACTCAAGATAGAGGGCGCGCATATCACGAGGTCTGCATCACGTGACTCGGACACGGCGCGCGCGCTGCTGGCTGAGCGACAGAACCTCTCCGTCGAAGAGAACAAACTACGCGTCTCGCTGAAGAAGATACAACAGGCTATTGATGTTATTAGGAACTATTAGGGACTTAGAACAGTAAGCGAGTCGGGCGAAAAAGAGGGATGGAGCTATAAAAGGTGTATAGCTTCATCCCTCTTTCTCGCCCGGAAGATTGACGCTTTAACAAGTCATAGTACGCCTTCAGGTCGCCATTCTTCTTCAGTCTTGTTTTAATCGTTAGGTAAATAAGCAATGCACACATTTACTTTTGGAAGGTTTCAAGTTGATTGTATTTATTAATTTTATTTATAAGGTTATGCATAAAGTTCATGGGTGGGCTTTAGGACTACCTACAGTTATTCTCGCTAACCAACCTTTGGGTGATGCAGTGAGAATATGGTCGGTGCATTAAAGTAGACAGAAGCATTGTAGATAATTTCTTACAAACCAAATTATAACTAAGAGCAAGTTTTTACCACAAAGTAAATCTTGTTTATTCTCAGGCCCTTTTTGGATTCCTTAGATCCTTTTTGAAGAACTTTGCTATTAGTTCGTGAAAAAAACTCGAGAGTTCACTGTATAATCTGAGCCATACAGTACATTTTTTATAATTTCTAGTAAACGAGTTTGACAATTAAATAAAAATATATATATATATATATAAAAAAAGAAAAAAAATATGCATGTATTCGTTCACAAACAGGGTGTTCAAGAACGTTATTATAGGAATGTCCTGCCAAACAAATTCAATCCTTAAATACGTACCGCTAAATGGTTTTGTAGAAAAATATTGATTGTAGCTTTCTATTTTCTACTTAACATGAAATCTTAAATCTAGCATCCAGACTGTTAAAACTACTAGGTACAACACCACGTTCACAAGATTTTTAAAGCAATCATCTACAAATTATTCATCACAGTAAATCATAGGCCATGAATGAATAAATTTCTGTATAGAATCGATTTTGTGTGTTCGATACAAAAAATTATAACCCGCCTAATTTAAACACTTTAAGAACTAATATAATAAATACTAGATACCTAATACTTAGTTCGCTGTAACATAACGCCCTGAATTTGGTAGGGTTATATACATTTAACTAAACTGTACAAAATTACTTGTTGTAAATATATTTATATTTGATAGGATTTGAGAAAGTAGAATTTAGAAATATAATCTTAAGTGCCATACAATAAAGTTCCTTTTTATTGGAATACATATTGATTGACTTACACATTTTTGGCATCTTTGGAAAATAATTTATAATTTTTTGCTAAATAGAGTAGGTACTTAAGTCCATTTTTGTATAAAGCATACACATGGATGCAATATTTTCTTATTTGCCATTCGAAGTTTACTGTAAAAATAAGGTAATTTATTATATTATTAAATATGAAATTGTAAATATAACTTATTTTGTTGACCTAATTCGGCGACAGTTGCTTTATTTTTGGTGAATGGCCTAGCCAATTTGTGGGTCGGTGAATGTAGTGACGTCATTAAAATGTAAGGTTTCTTATTTAAATATAATGAAATTATTAATTTAAAAGAGTTGAGTATATTTCCCGGCCCATATGTAATTGAGGTACACGAAATTGTAAAAAAATATTGTAAAATAAAAATTAATCAGAAATGTAAATTTTAAGTTAGTTTTTTGATCTTGGGGCATTGGAGGAAATTTTAAATAATTATATTTTTATTTTCGACTGTCTCCGGCTCTTAAAACCTAAGGTTTGACCTAAAGGTCTTAAATTGATAATTTATACCAAAAAACTTAGAACTAGTTTCGTCAATTTAAATGTAAAATAAATAAAACTAGTCAGATATTTTTAGTAATATTTAATTAATAATAATAAAATATCGTAATAAGTAAAAAATGCAATAACTTAGAACGATTTTACAAACCGTATTTGAGTGGCATTTCTCATTTTTTCCGTTCAGAATGCCCAGTAAACTTAGTGGCGGCTTAGTTGGGGTGGCGCCACTGACGTGTAAAGGATAGTAAAGGTTCTTCATGTATTACTTATAGTAAAACATCTTCAGGCGGGTTTGCGAGGTAAGTGCAATATGGCATCGCGGTTTCGGCCTAGAGCAGGAGACGGAACGGGGTGTTTTAATCAGTAAAAGTCTGACACTCCCACACAGAAGCCGTTTGATGATTTTCTCCTCACAAAAAAGGGTAAAACATCTAAAGTTTTAACTGGGCATGCTGTATTCTTAGAACATTTATATATTTTTATTATTATAATCTATATCATGTACTTAATTAATTATTCCGCTCGTGTAGTATTTATAAACTACAGGAGTGCCCTCTGACGAATATTTCAAAAAGAAAAATGACAATTGCTTTGTATCAGCCAACCTAATGATAATAAATTTTACAATACATGAAAATATTGTGTACAGAAGCAAGTAATACAAAATAGAATGACTTTTTATGCCTACTTTGTATTGTGTGTTTTTTCATGAGAAAAGGTGTAATAATTAATTTTGACTGAATTAAGCACCCATGCAGAGAGCTCTGACATACTAACAATATGCAACAGATATTTTATTGTAAGATATTTCATATGCATCTTGATTGTTCATAAAAAACTTCTTTTGTTATATACATATATACTTACCTGTATCCATGTTTACTTTATTTACAAATTGTATATTCTCAGCCTTTTCACTTTGTAATAGAGTGTAAAACCTATTGAATTATTTTGTCAGTTTTCTGGTGTAATTCCTTGAAGATTTATAATATAAGCAATAACATAGCAAAAGGTATTGATGCATTTGTTGATTTTTTGATCATTTAATACCAATGATATTGTAAGTAAAAAGGTGTAGATACAAGCACTCAGCAAGTGATACATTAAAATGTGGCTAGCCATATTTTTTCATATTTGTCTCTTTTTCACTCGCGATTATTGAATCATGCCATTTCACTTTGACGTTTAAACATATGAATTGTTCATGTGTGCATCAGTGTGTCGCTTTTGAAAATCGAATTTTGTTTAGGTAACCTATCTACACCATTGTACTTATAATATCATTGTTTAATACACTTTCTGGCAACGTGATTTCACGACCGCATAACTTTGATGAAAAAATGAAACTTTGGATCCTATTTTGTTCTTACGGTACTAGCGTACATATTTTATTGTTTTATCTTTCTTTTCTCTTATCTTTATCACCATACTTCAAATGGAAGAAATTTATACTAGAGACTATATTTTCGCAGCTCTTTCACTTGTATATTGATATGATATTATGGCATTATTCATTCAATCAAAGACACATCTTGTATTAAAATTAAAAATAAAACGCAACGTTTACCAAAATGCTTGTAAAGTTATAATGTGCCTCTTATTTTGTACCTAATATTTATTGTAAAATACATTTTGACAAAAATAAAATAAAAATTGAAAATTATTAAAATAACTGATATTTTGTTTCTATTTATTATAAACGTCAAATTCCCATGGTCTATGGTTGGCGCAGAAAACAAACTTAATTTTGCAAGAATTAAAGTGTGACTCTAGATCAAGTCGACCGCAATGGTACAAATCCCTTACAACCCTAAAAGGCCGGACATGCACACTTTTGTGTTGCCACAATAAGTTTGCTAGTTGCGTGACTTATTGAAAAAAAATCCAACTAATGTATATCCGTCATAATTAGGTAGTTTGCTAAAAATAAATTAATTCGATGTTTAACAATACAATAAAATATTGAAAAATAACTATACTTTTTTCATCCATCTGTCGATACACTAAATTTTCGATATTTTTAGCTGATTTTTAAGAAATAAGTAAGCTATTTGACTCAAAAATACTATGACGTCATGTGTTGGAGTTTCATACAAATTTCATTGAAGAGTATAGTTTTTGACATTTGGATAAATGTAGGTATTGAATTTGGCTAGTTGGAAACTACCGTATTATGGCAACCGGTACCAACAGTAAAATGTGCTTAAAGGCTCTTTAAAGGCAAAGCCAAATCCAGACACTGGCTTACTAAGAGATATCTTGAATAAAAAAAAAACTTTTAAAAAGTATATTTTGTGAAACAAGATTTTGTTAGTATTCTGCGCAAACCATAGACAGGTATTTATAATTAAGAACTGCAAATGCATTAACTATCACATATTTAAACTGCTTACAGTTATTTAGTCACATAACCGTTATAATTAGTAGCAATTCTTACAACATATAAAGATAACTAAACGTTTTTTATTATAGCAACTATCACGAGACATCCTAAAATTGAAATTACGACTTGCTCTCATTCAACTCAAAAATTTATAATAAAAATAATAACATTATTTCCTTTACTATAAAAACTATTATGTACCTATCTATATATGATGATTTAGCAATGTGTAACGTTTTGTTACCACCTCTCGCGTAAAACACAGTATTATTTTGAACTTGTTAAATTTTCAACTACGTCGAATGTCAACTGTTGTCTTCGAAGCAGCAGAGAGCTGTTCCCAGCATGATGAGCACGATGCCAGCGATAGACTCTGGAATATAAGAATACAAGCATATTAAAACCAAGTGCGGAAGAGCTATACTTCGGCACTGAACATTCTGAAACAAACTGCAATCTTTTTTGAAATTTATTAAGCAACAAATTGAATCATGGTTCATAAAATTAAGGTTACACAACTACTATAAACAACTTAGGGCTGATTTTCTGTGGTTAGAAAAAGTTATCTGGGGAATAATTATGATGCTGTAGCGGCAGAATGTTTGTGTAAGACAGTGACAGCAACAATTTTATTCCTCAGTTAACACTTATGACCTTACAATAATAAGTAGTTGTTGTGTCATCCATCTATATAGGTAGGTATGTATTTATACCTAAGGAAAAACTCGCAAACATATCAAAACAGAGCCTAAACTATAAGGCCTAGAAACTTGAAATTTTCTTTTATGGTGTGTGGTGAGCACTAAGAAAGAGTTGTAGATATTTCCCCTTATTTAAAAGGACAAAGAGGGGCTTTAAGGGCGTAAAATGGGGTGAATACCTGCTTTAAGAGTTTAAAAGGAGAGAGGGTAAGTTGGTATATAACTCAGGCAGTTTTTAAGTGAAATGAATTAATTATATTTGGTATTTGACAAAAAAATGTGTTCTAGGAAATTATAAACATTGCTCAGCCCGAATATGAAATTTCCAAACAACAGAGCACCTTTTTTTCTTTTTTTAAAAGCATTGCCCTACACTAGCATTTTCTCCTGTGTCGTGGGTGCGGTTACAAATATACACAGTTTGTTGTTGTGGACCACAACAACAATTTGTAAATCAAACAAGGTTTTTCCGTGCGGTAATCAAGCCCGCGATAGCACGTTAGCCAGTTGCCCAGCCACCGCAGTAACCGTGCAGTCACTTTACAAAGTTGTTCTTAAAACAATTTATTGTCTATCATGACTTTTCTAAGATGGAAGGAGAAGAAAAAAGAGAGGAAGGCTCTACTCAACACTACGTACTTGCATCAAGCGGTTCTTCAGTTCCCACGGCGACACCGGTGAGGGCGGTGCAGACGAAGGCCAGGCTATTGGCAGTGGGCACGACTACGGATAGGGGGGCGCGTTGCAGGGCCGCCAGGTAGCTCAGCGAGCCTGTCTGGTTCACCAGCCATGGTAACACGTACTGACGAATGAATAACGAAGCGTTCATTAATGACGTGAGATCTTTCTATACAGTTTCTGCCTCTTCCTCCTCCAACTTGGTGAGATGTCGTGAGATTTTGTTCAACGCCCTCCCCCATCCTCTCACGTTAGAGTTATCGGAATGTAAGTTTCTTACGTAAACGCACTGCATTGTTAGGTATTGTAAACAATTCGCTTTGTCCTTTCATTTACGACTAGTTAAGAATAGTATGCAGTATTTCTGGGGGTTATATGCATATTATATTTAAACGAAAAATGAACTATAAAATACTTCATATATGTTTTTTTTGTTTCAATCAGAAAAAGAAATGCGTGATATTTTTTATGTCCCCCCCCCCCCTCTCCTTAATGTGAGATTAGATGAGATTTGACTCAACCCCGTTCCCCCCTTAATCATCTCACGTAGTCGGTGGACATCCATCAATAACTATCCCACTTCTAAGAAAAGGTCTTCCTACTCTCCTACAGAAAAGGAATTACCACCTAGGTACTTGGTATTAATCAGAATGTTGACTCAAGGCGATTTCAAACTTGTATGATTTGAAATTACAAGTCGTGGTTTCCTGACGATCACGTTAAACACTTCAGTGGTACATAGAAAGTAGTTACATAACTTGGAAAAAATCACAAGGCATCAATAAGAAGTAACAAACTTCCCAAGCTTCGAACTTGAGGCACCACCATATTTGTAGCTTAAATTTGTAGGTTAGTATTTCGATATTAGGTACATGCTTTTATTAGGGGGAGTGCTCTGAGGAATTGTTCGATTTATTCCTTGACACATCTTTTTGCCATCAGCCCATGCGAAAATGCTTTCATTCCCATCACAAAGATGGTTGGCAATCAACAACTGTGTAATTTTCGCGAAACTCTAGCAGTACTTAGTCCCGAATTGATAATTATGACCTTCAAACTTTTAAGAAACGCGCGAACACCACCTTGCTATCGTGGTTATTTCAGTTGGTAATTGGTAAGTAAATTGGTGAGCGAACACAGGCGTTCGCTTGGGGTTTGATGAATCAAAAGGCTGGTAAGGCATCTTTGACTCTTCTGGTGTTGCATGAACACCTTCTACTTATGGGCGGCGCTGATCATTTACCATCAGTTAATCTGTAGTTCCTTTGCCTCCTATTAAGTACATAAAAAACAATCCAGTTACCCTCCAATTGCCGAGTAGGAACGTGACTTCTGCCCAGACCTGTCCTCGTAATGTGGTGGCGGTGACGTCACGGAGCCCCTTCGTACCCTGGCGGATGAAGGGGTTGGTGCAGCCCCAAAGCACACCCGTCAACACCAGAAGTCCTAATAGAAGTAGAAATTAAAATCAATTCCGTTCAATAATATTTTAACATTGGCCCACATCCTAAGGATATTTTACATGTTGTGGCATTGCCGGCGTGAAACAATCATAGCGTTGTGTTTCGCCATGGGCCCAATCCTTCCCCTCCCCCAATCCCTAAATCTCCAAATCAAAAAGCAAAAGGTCGGCAATGCACTCTTAAGTCCTCCTATTTTGCAGGTGTTCATGCGGCGCTACGTAATTACTAACCATTCGGATAATCCGTTTGCCATCATATCACATAAAAAAACGCCCACATAAAAAAATAGAGCAAGTTAAGATATTATGTAGCAACAGGAGTCCAAAAATCATACCAGGGTGTACATTTAAAAAAAAAATTAAAGTAACTTTCAAAATAACTACAATATTTTTTTATTTATTTTTCTGATGACCACAATAAGCAGCAGAATCACCCAGTTGCGGCTTGACGTCGACTTCCGGGACCCCCTGTATAATTAGGTACCTACTTATCAGACTCAATTTATTTAATTTTTTCGTCAACCCATAACGGTCCTCTTTTAGAACTGATCTCTCTCTCTCTACATTTGTCACTGGGCAGGCGGAATGAAGATCATAGAAACCGTTTTATACTGAAATAGGCAAATAAAACTCAATTGCGACATAAAATATTTTATTTTGATAAAAAAAATACGTATAACAAACTTATTGCATAATAGTTATATGGGTTACACAAATCTGTAATATCTACGATGCATATCCTACATTTTGCAGTAGCAAATAAAGTTGTAATTTATTTGTTTTTGTTATTACAATAATTTAGAATTTTGGTATTAAAAATAGAGATCAATAATTACAGTCAAAACCAAACATTTATGTATAATTATATCAACTAGTATAGGTAAAATACTTACATAATTATCATTATCACAAGTTTATTAAATATTGCAAATAACCACTTAAAAATAAATACAAAATAATAATATTGTATTATAAAATAACATGATCTACTTTATTAGATATAAAGAGAAAAATCTTTCACAACTCTGGCTGTCACATCTAAAAATAAATGTTTAATGGCCAGTCTCACTACAATTGCTGGATTTGCCCACTAAAAAAAAACTTGAATTTAGTTCCATATAAATTGTGTAAAAATTATATTGTAAATAGACAAAAAGTTAATGTTACGTCATGGTAATGTAAAGTAAAATGCATCTGGTTGAAACTAAGGGTCAGTTTCACAATGGCAATAGCTTCTATGTATCAAATAAATTTGAATTTAGAACATATTTTGTATGAACCACTTGAGAATTTGATGAATTATTTCTGAATTCCTGGTGTTTGATATTTAAAAATTCATATTTATACCTAAAAAAATGGGTAAAAATTACAGACAACATAATAAGTGTAAGAATAGGTCTACAAGAAGAGTTAGAAGATTTACAAGTTTATCTAAAGATATAAATTTATAAAAATATAAATGCACATGCTATCTTAATTAGCATCTCTGTTGAGATCAATGATGTAATTTGGTTGAACAATCTTGTTTTTAAAATAACATTTAGGTTAGCTAAATAATAAATTTACAAAATAAATACACCTAATTTCATTACATTGTGAACATTAAAAATATAATCTTTGAAAATAAAATGTATATATATAAAGTAAAACTAACATTTAGAAATAATTTTTAACATGCATTCGACAGCATTCTTGTAATTTGTGTCATGTACTATAAAATCCATTCAAAACTTATCTAAATAATATGATTATATGTTGCTGGCAAAAAACTAACTTGTACAAATACAAAACTACCATCATAGGCACAAAAACGACCCATTATTAGTCTCCCAAACGCACACCTGGTGTCATAGCCTTGACTTCACTGAACTTGGACTGATTTTTTTTATCATCCATGTACTCCACAAACTTTTGTCCTATGGTAATAGATATTTCCATTGCCATGAGACAGTCATTCTCTGCTCTGTGAGCCTCACTTGCAGGACGGTTCGTAACTCTCTCGTATATATCCTTAAGCTTATATGACTGTTTAGGTTTGGGCTTGTTTTCATAGAATATCCTGCGTTTAACCTTCTTAATTTTTGTCAATGGTTTTTGTACAGGTTTCTGTTCTGGTGTTCTATTGTTCTGCTCCTTTAATAACTGTTGAAACTTCAAATCATCATATTCATTGAAATGATTCAAGAAATCTTCTGTTATAACTTCTTCGGATTGAGAATTTTCAACATTTGAACTTTGTTCTGCAGATTTTGATGTAGTTTCACTTGATGAATTATCACTGGCTTTCACTTCCTTTTCCTTATCTCCATTTTCAGCAACATTGGCAACGGATGCATTCCTTTCAGTGCTGGCTGTCCCTTGAGCAAACTCAAGTATATCATAGGACGAATATAGGCTATCACCACATAGGATATCATCAGGCAACTCAACACCAAGCTTATCAAAGTGATTTTTCAAAATTGGGAAATCAAATGAATGGCCATTTTCCGCAATCAAACAAACCGGTTTCTTTAAGCACTGAATAAAAGAGTTAATAGTGTTAAAAACATTCAAGTTGAATAGCGTGTTGTCTTCCAGGAGGTCATTGCTCAGTCCTGTGATTTCAGTGCTATCTGGGTGAATCATTCTTCCGGGGTTGAAACACATAGAGAGTTTGTCAAGCACGCGCGGCACAGACCCCGGCCGAGTTTCTAGAAGATGCTGGCGTTTCACCACAACCATACATAACTCAGTAATTCGTGTTTTATTATTATCTAACATTGGGAGACCTGAAGTCTCCAAATCTAAGAACACGTACGTTGCTATCCGCGACATAATTAAAACTGAAGAGAAATCGTAAATGCTTACCGATTGCTTCCAACATTATGCACTACAAACTACTAGGCAAACATTATCTTAGCAGTTAGTGAAGCGCTATTGGCCAATAAATTTTACACATTCCTTGTCACTCTCGGTTGTTGTTGCAATTACAGGACTATTTGTAATTCACTTAATAATTATATTTAAGATAATACAAGTATATGATCTCAAGAAAAGCTGTACCAAAATATTTTGTCGTGTTCTGTTTGTTTTATTTACAAATTTTATTAACAAAGCTATTAATTAGTTCGCACTTTTGACGTCGTCGGCATATCGGCTGTCTAAGTCTGACATTTACTGACATGACATTGATAATAAGTGTCATTAGTGGCTTGCCGCTTGCGCGTTCCGAATCCTTAGCGGTCTTTGTCGGAATCGGAATATGAACCAAAAATCATTGGTTCCTGTTGTGCGGGCAATGTAACAATTCCTACTTTTATGGTATGCTTATGTAAATCAAAATAACGTTAACTGGTATTTGTAGCTCGTACTTAACTGGGTCGAAAGTGGAGAAATGGGTTTAAACTTTATCATTTGCTAATCAATAACAACTTATCTACAAATCCATCTTGTTAATGTTAATGTTTTAATGTTGAACTTGTTAGTACCTGTTCAAACATTTCATAGCCTGTCTCAATCATTGAAACGGTTGGGCTTAGTGATTGTACCTAATTGTTTTATGAGATATATCACCTGATGCTGAGTTGTAAACGGCGCTGGTAGCAAGGTCGTAGCCCGCTCTAACTTCCAGGGATTAGGAATTTTAGAGTGAGAGAGTCAGTTGGGCATGTGTGCATGCCATGTACATGTAGAACTAAATACCGTGGTCCCGGCAGAGAACACAAATTAGGACTGGGTTGTTTTAGGCAGTAAGAGACTGACACACCTCACGTTCCACCTGGACCATGTCAAACACATGTTATGATTTTCTATCTTTACATAATTGTGGGAGAGCCATGCTTCGGCACGAATGGGTCGGCTCGACTGGAGTGATACCTCGAGTGGCATCACAGAAAACAACCACAGCGTCGTGTTTCGCAGTGTGAGTAAGGCTACCAGAGGCTCAGTCCTACCCCTCCCCCTATCCCTCTCCAATCCCTAAATCTTCAAATACCCAATCCCCAAAAGGTCGGCAAAACACTCGTAACTGCTCTGTCGTTGCGGCTGTCGGGCGGCGCTGGTTGCTTACCCCATCAGGTGATCCTTATATAATTCCTCACTTGACGTCTAACACTTTTTTTATTGCTGAAACTAAGTGTTTATATTTTTATACGTTTATTAGATAAAAGTATTCTTTCAGAATGTCATGGCAGTTGGTAAGTAGGTAGGTAGTATGTGGGGATTCAATATTAAGTGACGGTTTGACGGGTTTTTTCTCTGATTTATTCATTACTTGGTGGTATATTTTTTTTATAATAATAACACATTAGTACCTGCCTATATTGAACAACAGACTGACGGAATATTATTCTATTTTGACGTTTTAAAAGTATTCTGATTTTGAATCCTACACCTAATTACACAATGTTCAGCTCACGCAGTCGTACCAGAAATATAAAGTATTGAGAATAATTCTTGATTTTAATAAAATAAATGACTATTATTAAGGTTTTATATTGTGAACCGACTTCAAAAAGGAGGAGGTTCTCAATTCGACGAGTATTTTTAAACAAAACAGTATAAGTAACTAATACCACGTGGTAGGTATTAGTTAGTTATTACCTTCTAAGAGCAAATTAATTGAGTAATATTGATGACCTTCGCCAATAGAACAACCATTAGAATTCTGCTAAGTAATTGAATTTTTATTAACGTTCAGTTCATTAATTGATGATATTACTACCTATGATGATACTACCGCATTTTTGGAAGACTTCAAAAGCGAAAAATAGTGAAGTTATTATAAGGGCTACACCGACAGTATCGTGCGGAGAAGTATTATTATACAATGTGGTGGACAAGGAGTTCCAGTCTGCCTTGCGGCCACTGGCTCTCATGCAGAGGCTCTTCATATGCGCGAAGTTTTCTATCCGCGACAACTTCATCGCCTCCAACACCGCCACCTACAACTACATTGGCCTCAGCTGTGCCCTCATATTCCGCTCCTTCATGTTGTACTATCTGATTAGTACTATAAACCAAATGATTGGCATCACCTCTCTTCTCAGCCTCTGCGACATTGACGATTTCATCTTCTTCTCCGTTGGTTTCATCATAAACTACTACTCCAACATCATTCAATGTAATAACAACGTCTTTTTGATTTTAAAACTACAAAATGTTATCAGAAGTCTTCAAATTGATGTTAAAGTTATGAAGTTTTTCGTTATTACCAACTGGTGTTATATCATTGCTTTAAATTGTGTGTTTATTTTGAGCAATACGTATTATTGTATGTTCCATGTAGTTGGCAACGCTTGGGACCATCTCTCAAGCTTCACCAGTATTACCTTTGATATAAACATCGTGTATGCTTCATTTATTTTAAGTTTATTGAGAAGGTTAGTTATTTCTTGGATAGAAGAATTTCAATCAAATGGAGATAGTAATAATGAGTGTTATTGGAACGCAATGTTTGATCTGTATGTAAATATTTTGGAGGCTTACAAGTTACTGAAGATTACATCTAGTTTACAGGTAAGTTCAGGCCTTGCTTTGCAATATTGAGTCCAAGAATGTACTCGCAAGTCACATTAATCAGTTGTATTGTATTAGTTCATATTTTATTCAGATTTGGAAGTTAGTCAATGACGCAGTGACATTTACTCAGTAAAAAAGTACCAGGATAACATAAGAGTCAAACAGTTATTGTTCCTTACTTTTAGGTCGTGTATTATACGATACACACTGTCTGCCACGGCTTGATGACTGAAGTGATCCTATTGCAAATGAGACATATAATCCCGGAAACTCAAGTTAAGGTGAGTCAAGTTATTATAGTCCTGCTTGTATCTATTGCTTCCTAGAGTACTTATCGATAAAACTTTGGAACCTTAGCTTCAATATATCCCAATTTGATAGCTAAAATTGACCTTGATTCGTTCAGTGTTCGAAATGAGAGTATAAATCTCTTTCTTCTTATGCTGTGACCAAAGCATTTTTGGCATTTTCAACTGTGTTGTTCCGATTAGCAACGCAGACTTCCACTTTTTTAACCATCTTTATACCTTTTTTTGTTAGGGGAAAATTATCAAATAACTTCTTTTGCCAAGATGAGGCGTGTGTCAGGCTCTTACTGCCTAAAACCCCCCTTGTTCCTTCTTCTGCTGTAGGCCGAGGCCGCGGTAACGTTAGAATAATTACACCACCTATTGCGGTTGCCCCGCAACCCTATCTGAACACCAGTCCTATAGGGCCCTGTCTGTGGTGGTCTATTGGCTCTTTGAGCTAACGCTATGCAAACACACCATCTATTTAGCTGTGTCTAACTTGTTTGTTGAGCTCTTCAACTAAAAGCCATGCTTTATTGTGCTATGGTGTTTCTTTCAGTTCACAATGTTCGCGATGTTATCACAGATGTGGCTGGTGAAGAACGTGGCCCTACAGATAGTACTTTGTGTTAAAAGTGAAAGATTTTACGCGGCTATGGAACAAGTTCCGAGTGTTTGTGTAGAGCTGATGCAAACTAGAGGATGTACAGGTATTTCTCATTCGTTGGCATAGAAGAGTAGTGTGTCTTAGCGTGTTCGGTATTAAAAAAATTGTTAGTTTTATCCTCATATCGTATTGACATCGATTATTACAGAACTTTGTGACTTAAACCTGGATCTTGCTATAACTGATGTAGGGTGTCACCAACTTTTAATGGGATAAGATAATCCATTTAGGTCAATTTGCCATTTCAAAAAAATAGCTAATTAAACTACAATGAATACCGCAGATAAAGAAAAACTATAAAACATTGGATTATATAGACTATGGATACCGTTTAGTGCTCAATGCTATCTGCTTGTTAAATAACGTGAAGGTAGAAGAAAGTTTTCGGCTACCACAATCACTGTCATCTCTGCTTAAGATGGCGACAAATGAGCTTGACGTTGAAAATTTTAAACAGTTTGTTTTAATCAATTAATACAACATAACATAACATTACAACAAATCTAGCATTAATGAAGCTGGTTGGTCCTTTGTTCACAGACAAGCAGAGACAAGTATGCAAGAACATTCAGCGCCTTCATGAGACCTCGTTCAAGAAGATGAGTGGGTTCGGTCTGTTCGTAGTCGACGTCGCGCTGCCTCTTCGTATAGCTAGTGTTCTGACCTCGTACACATTGGCCATCTTACAGTTTGCGCTATCTTAGACAATAGTACTGATTTTGTAAGACCACATTTAACCATGCGATGTTTGTCTTTAATTGCTTGTGCAGTGATACTTATAACTAGAGTTTACACTTATTTATAAATACATTACTGTAACAACTGTTGGCAGACCATTAATAAATAAATAAATAAAACTGGCGACAAGAAACTCTCCCGTTTTATGTTAACAACAAATAATTAAATAGGCATTAACGCCAAAAGTAATTATTTAAATAACCTACCACTAATACATAGTCTGACCATAAATACTGTTACAATTAAAAATAAACAAAATATTACATTTGAATTTGGAATCTGTCATTTTTATATAATTTTTCATTGTGTTTTCTTATTTTTGGCGCCAATAAATTGTTCAATATTTTGCGATATTATAATGGAGTGGGATGATTAAGAGATTCGGTTCTCTGCGATTGCATTACACAAAGTGGGAATGGAGCCAAATGCAATTTTTAAAACTCTCCACACACTTGGCATTAGTCAAATATTTGTTTACCGGGCTATTAATAGGTACAATGAGACCTCCTCTGTTTGTGACAGAAAAAGATCTGATCTGGCCAATGATGTATAAAACTATAGATACGTTGTCCGCGCTCTAAAATGACAACATGAAATGAAGGCAATTGACAACATCGCGCTTAGTTACGCACCAACCTGCCGCGCGACGCTACGTTTGTTTTTAATTTAAGTATATCGTGTGTAAACCTGTGCGAAACATAAAGAAAGCATGTCGTCGTGTGTGTTCAGACGATGTACAAATTATACTCCAAAAGTTAAAGACAAAAATGTGTCATTTCATGCGTAAGTTCACCAAATAGGACCAATTTTTATTTTATTTTTTTTTGATCCCGGCGCCCGCCATCTTATGGCGGCCGGCGCATGAAGGTATAGTCACGTGCCGTCGGCATAACTGAAGATGTATATTTATCTCCCTCTAGCAAAGGCATTCCACTATACGATGTCATATTTTCTTTCCCTTTCTTTACTCGTAGAAGTAGTTATCTAGTATTTTCGCCGTTTTTAAGCGCCGCGATGTTGGTTCATGACGTGTCTATATATAATACGTCATTGGATCTGGCCGTCCACGTAGTGTTCGTACGAAAAAGGTGGTCAAAGCAGTAGGTATACCTACAAAACTTGAGCGTGAAGCGGTTGAAATAAAGAAATGCCCAAACAATTTCAATCGGAAGGACGGCTTTAAATTGTCATCGACGTGGAATCCAGTGATTCGGAAAACACAACCTCGCTTTTCTTCAAAGTCGGTTTACTCATCTATGGATACCGTCAGCGTAGTGTGTAGACGTGGCGGTTAGATAAAGATTCATCTTCCGAATGCAGGGAGTCAGTCAGCCATCAGTCTGCTTGCGACCATGACCATTTCAAAGCTAAACTCAGCAACAAATTGCCTTTGTTGTTGAATTATAAGAATTCTAGCACTTTATATGATAAGTTTTTTAAAATGTACCTAACAGAGTTTAAGTCTGCTTTTTCAAATAAAACTATACCAGCTAATAGCAATGCGTCTTTCGGTGATTGGGCAACCACTGGTATCTATAAGAGTAGAAAGCGCCTCTATGAGCTTTATAATGAGCATATTCACTGAATTCAACAGTGTTAATATATGTCATATTAACACTGTTGAATTCAGTGAATATGTAAAAAACTATTCTAAATTATTCAAAAAGGTTTGCTCTATTGCTAAATCATTATTCTTAAGCTCTAAGATAAAGAACAGTACCAATGTTATCAAAGACACTTGGAATATTATCAACAGTGAGGCAGGAAGGTCTAAAAAGAGAATAAATCAACATAGTCTTGTAATTTATAACAAGTTAATAAAAGCGGATGTAGAAATTGCAAATGCTTTTGAAAATTTCTTTTCCGACATTCCTGTATCCACTACTAAGTCACTGAATTCATCTCCCACTGTTGCAGAGTCTTTACTCAAACAACATGTTATAGCTTGCGATTCAGGGTTTTCCTTCGAGCACATAGATAACAAGGAAATTGTTAAAATCTTTAATAATTTGAATAACAAAAAGACTGCAGATCTATGGGGTAATTCTGTGTATATTACAAGCTCTGTAATAACTATTGTAGCACCTGTATTAGCTCAAATCTTTAATAACTGTATTGACTGTGGTGTGTTTCCTGATCTTATGAAATGTAGTAAAATAATTCCATTATTTAAATCAGGTAGTACTTCTGACCCCACTAACTTTAGACCTATTTCAGTGCTACCTACGTTCAGTAAAATTTTTGAAAAAATTATTTTAGATCAAATGCAAAGATTTTTTAATAGAAATAAATTATTACATGCGAAACAGTTCGGATTTACAAGGAGTCGTTCAACAACTGATGCCGGTGTTGAACTTCTTAATCACATTTACGACGCGTGGGAGGACTCAAGCGACGCTTTGGGAATATTTTGTGATTTATCCAAGGCGTTCGATTGTGTGCTTCATGATACACTGATCAGGAAGCTATCCCATTACGGAATAAGAGGTGCATCTCTGGACCTTCTTACCTCATACCTGAGTAATAGGGTTCAGAGAGTTGAAGTAAACGGAGTGGTTTCTGCCGGGTCTGTTGTGAAGATGGGTGTTCCGCAGGGTTCTATTCTCGGCCCGTTTTTATTTCTTATCTATATTAATGACTTGCCTTACCTTGTAAGGGATAAACACGAGATAGTGCAGTTTGCTGATGATACCTCACTATTATTCAAACTCAGACGACGACAATTAGTTATTGACAATGTAAACAGTGCTCTCTCAGAAATAGTTCACTGGTTTGGTGTTAATAACTTATTACTAAACGAAACTAAAACTAAATGTATTAAATTCACAACACCAAATGTTAAACAGGTAAAAACCAGTGTGCTTGTCAAGGGCGAGGAGTTGAGTCCTGTAGATACAACTGTCTTTTTAGGTATAACCCTGGACGCTAAGCTCCAGTGGGGACCTCATATAGATGGCTTGTCGAAGAAGCTCAGTTCTGCAGCATATGCCGTTAAAAAAATTAGAAATTTAACAGATGTAGATACAGCGCGGTTAGTTTATTTTAGTTATTTCCACAGCATCATGTCATACGGTATTTTGTTGTGGGGGAATGCTGCTGACATTCAGTCTATTTTTGTTCTGCAGAAAAGGGCTATTCGATCAATCTATAATCTTAGTCCGAGGCATTCGCTCAGAGAATTATTTAAGGAAACTAAGATAATGACGGTTGCCTCACAATATATTTATGAAAATGTAATTCACGCTCATAAAAACAAAAGCTTATTTAAGAAGCATAGTGATATACATAATATTAACACGAGGGGGAAAAACAAATATGTTGTCCCTGCCTCCAGGCTTCAGAAAATAACTAGTTCGTTTAGATGTCAATGTATACGCTTTTACAATAAAATTCCTAGCGATATACAAAATTTGAGCCTCAATAAATTTAAAAGTGTAATAAAGGCTAACAGGTCATGTTGACATGTTTGTAACATAAGTTACACTTTTATATACAATTTGACATTACGTTTATTTTTTATACAATGACATAATCACCTATTGTGACATTTTATTTTTTATTTGACATTTTTTTTTTATTTATTTATTGACATTTTTATTATTTTATATTATTGTTAGTGTAAGGACCGTGTGAGACTTGCCGTGCTTTTTGATTACCAGTTATCTGCGTTCTGACAGTTTGAGTACTTGCGCGACCCACCCAAATGTTCTTTAGATCGGTATTGTTCGTCGGACAACTCAGCAGCACTAGCTATACTGGTTGCAAACTGACACTTGCGTGCCTGTCTTCAGAACGGGTCCACTTAAACTGGTGTTTTTCCTCAAAAGACCACTACAGAATGAACTTGCACGATTCTCTCACATTATGTTATTTTTACATTGTCTGGACTTGAAAAGAGACTGACCTCTGAGTTTGTTTCGGCATTTCTTCTCAGAGTAGTCAGATAGGAAATGCCGGCTTCATCTAGTTTTTCACATATAAATTGACGTGTAAAAGTGCCGTTTTATGGCCTATTTGCAAAAATAAATTCATTGTTTCATTGTTTCATTGACCTGTGCTGTTTAAATAATTAATTTTCGCGTTAATACCCGTTTTATACTAGGCTGGAACTTGGGTCAACCTTAATAACTAATAGAAAGAAAAAGCCTCCGGTAATTTTACTTACACGGCGAAACACAACGCTGTGGTTCTTTCACGCCGGGTTTCTGTGAGGCCATGGTATCACTCCGGGTGAAGCGACACATTCGTGTCGAAGCATGGCTCTCCCACACTTAATCGGTTGCATCGCGCGTTCGCGTATATAATCTCTAAGATGCACCACCTTTCTGAGGTCGCCGCCGCCAATCACTTCCCTCGACGGTGTTCAGCCCAAGCAGGATACACTGTCACCGTATGTTCCATCGTGTCTTCCGAGTGATCCTTAAACCTGACAGAGCTACTTTTTTTATGATATAAGTCAGCAAAAGAGCAGACGGATTACCAACCAGCGCCGCCCATGGACACCCGCAACACCAAAGGAGTTACGAGTGCGTTGCCGGCCTTTTGGGGATAGGGGTTGCGGATATAAGGATCGGGAAGGGATAGGGGAAGGGAAGGGATTGGGCCTCCAGTAACCTCACTCACACGGCGAAACACAACACTGTGGGTTGTTTCACGTCGGTATTCTGTGAGGCCATGGTATCACTCCGGTCGAGAAAGCCCATTCGTGCCGAAGCATGACTCTCCCACACTTAAACTACTGTGCTGTTATCATTCCATTAGACATGAGGTTGCAAATAATAATGATCTACTTATAATAAACTTATTACATGTTTGTGCGTTTTAGTGTCAGTTAGCTATTATTTCCCAAAAGGAGTTACAACAGTGATGTCAACAGATAAAAGTACACTGCATCAGGGAACAAAACCTGCTTGAAAGGACTAGCGTATTTGAGACTGGTTTTGATGTAATTTTAATTTATCTGAAAATAAAATTGTTTAACTTCACCTACATAATTGAACAATGTTATACAATTGAGTTTTTGACGACTAGCCAATGACAGTGCTTGTATTCACAATTATTACAAAATGTTTAACTATAGCCCTACAGGTTTCGTAACTGTATCAGAGCTGTGAGCCAGCCATCTTGTTAAAAATAAATAGATGAATCCAATTCCAAACTATTATTATAAATGCGAAAGTAACTCTGTCTGTCTGTCCTTTCTTCACGCCTGACTGACTACTGAACCGATTTCTGTGAAATTTAGTACAGACATAGTTTGGAAAAGCTAGAGCGTGGTTACCGAAGCCCAATCCTTCCACTCCTCGATAACTTCCAAAATACCAATAATCAAAGGCCGGCAACGCACTCACATTTCCTCTGATGCCGTGGTGCACCCATGGGCATACCAGCATACCAGCTTGCCATCGTATCATCAAAGTTCTCAAACGACCTGGAAAAAGGGAGCATACAAACAGGCAGCGCTATTATCTTTGAAATAACAATATTATTAACTTTCATCTGTTGTAAGTTTATAAATAAAATTATGTTATTACTGCAGAAGTAACATAGAACATAGCACTATTGCGATCAAGGTCAGTTGTTACTGTAACTGTATCAACATGTGGTAGTGATGGTAGCGGTGGTGAATATTTATTTATTGACTCGAGTTCGGGTAAATAAAAGTTCCGACAACTTCACAACACTTACACCCGGTTTCCGAAAGGCCGATCAATGTTAAAATCAATTTAATCTCTTGTCAAGTCATCTGATTGGTTGACTGAATTAACAACAACCAATCAGATGTCTTGAAAAGAGATTTGACACCTAGTTAGTTGATTTTAACATTGATCGGGCTTTCGGAAACCAGGCATTAGTTGTATTGTTCGATCACACACATAGATAGTTCACATACAGCCTCGTAGCATAAACGTAATACTTGATACGAGATCGTATCATCGTAATGGGTGCATTAAATGAGTACCTACTTATAGATCAATATTAAGTCTAATAATAGATGCCTTTTTTGTGATAGGTCGGCAAACGACCAGGATTATCTGATGGTAAGTAATCAGCGCCACCCACGAGCAATGGTCGTACCAAAGGAGTTACTACAAGTGCGTTGCCGGACTCTTTTAGGGATTAAAGCATAGGGGATCTGAGGATTGAGAGGATGGGTGGGGGGAAGTATTGGGCCTCCGGTAGGTAACCTCAATCACGTAGCGTTACACAACGTAAGTGTTGCTTCACGCCGGCTTTCTCTAAAGCCGTAGTATCACTCCGGTCGAGTTGCAGAAGCGTGGCTCTCCCACACTTAAAACTATTGAAAACATTTATATACATTACATAGTAACACTATTTATAACTCAAGAACGGCATGAACTGTTTTGTTTGAGAATTGTTGGAGGTGTAGAAGAAGAACATAGGATAGGTAAAGTGGGTTGAGCAGGGTAGAATAGGTCGGGTAGGTAGGGTAGGGTAGGTAGGGTAGGATAGTTAGTGAAGGTAGGTAATTAGGTAGGGCAGCGTAGATAGTCAATGACGGGAGCGAAATAAAAGCTAGTATTTTAAAATAATAATGATAAATTTTCCACTGCGTAATTGTCGAAAGCCTTCGACCAGTCGGAAAAACCCATTTGTTACTACCTACATAAATATAAGGAAGATCAAGCTAATGACTAGGTACAGCAAATTTTTAATTTGATAAATTTCACAGAAATCAGACAGATCAGAACCGATACAATATTTCCCACACTACAATTAACCATTATCTTTAAAAAGAATCTTTTTTTTACACCTTTATCCTAATATCAAGTACTTGCGCATCTGTTGGATTTATCATGTAGACATTTACGTGAGATATATATCTATGATATAATAAAAACAACACCATAACGATCAAGTTTTATCAAAATATTTTAGGTATTACAACTGCTATTTATTGGCGTGTGTACGTCTCATAACTCAGTCGCATGCACTCTCACCGTCTCCTATTGTTAACATATCGTTTTTGTTATCTAATTTATTAATTACCTTCGATATAATAGATATAGTCGGGCTAATGATGTGGGCAGTTTTAAGCCTAGCTTTGTTGAGTGTGGTATTGGGTGATACTATAGCGATGGTTCAGGTGAGAGTGTCCGACGGTTTGTTAGAGGGAGAGATGGTGCAAAATGAGTATGGTGGCTCCTACTACAGCTTCAAGGGGATCCCGTACGCACAGCCTCCGCTCGGTGACCTGAGGTTTAAGGTACGTTAATTTGCAATTAACTTCTACAAGTGATTTTACTTTTTTGTCTTTTCTTCACTCTAGATGTTTACAAAACGTTTCTTTGCGGTTGCATGTTTTCTTATGTAGAGTTTTTAAGTATTTATTATAATTATCTCCATTTTTTTCCAGGCTCCTCAACCGCCAAAACCATGGGATAACATCCGCAGCGCCAAAGAATTTGGTCCCCGCTGCTTCCAGTACGATTTATTTGTAAATAAAGGAGAGGTATCAGGAAGTGAAGATTGCTTGTACCTAAATGTGTATACTCCTGACGTCACCCCCGAAAAGCCTCTTCCAGTAATGGTCTGGATTCATGGAGGAGGTCTAGTGTCTGGTTCCGGCGATGATTTCGAATACGGTCCCAAATTTCTTGTAAGACAAGATGTTATTCTAGTCACGTTCAATTATCGACTTGAAGTACTTGGTTTCTTATGTTTAGACACTGAAGATGCGCCTGGAAATGCCGGTATGAAAGACCAGGTAGCTGCCCTTAGGTGGGTGCACAACAACATCGCCAACTTCGGCGGAGACCCTGACAATGTTACAATATTCGGTGAGAGCGCTGGTGGGGTCAGCGTCACATATCACTTGATGTCTCCGATGTCCAAGGGACTATTCCGAAGAGCAATTGCTCAGAGTGGTGTCAGTGTCTCATACTGGGCACAGTCTTATAAACCCCGTGAAAGAGGCTTTGCATTGGCAAGGAAATTAGGGTTCAATTCTGATGATGTTAAAGAAGTGTACGAATTTTTAAAACAACAACCTATAGAGAATTTAATAAAAGCCAAGGTTCCCATAACTTATTCCGAAAAACAAAGAACAAATGTTGAAGTATACTTTAGCGTGGTTGACGAAAAACAGTTTGGGAACAGTGAGCGATTCTTCTACGGAGACATGGTCGATGCAGTGTCGAATGGCATTCATGAAGGAGTTGAAATTATGACAGGATACACTGCGGATGAAGGGATAATGGGTGTAGCTGTTTTTGGCGATTACAAAGAAAGTTTAGAACAAGCCAAAAACTTTCCCCAATTTTTCGTGTCTTACCCAATGTCACTTACATTGTCAACTAATGACCAATTGGAGCTTGGCAACAGAATAAAAGAATACTATTTCAAAGAACCGATTAGGGTACCAGACCACTGGGAGAATTTGAAAGATTTTTATTCAATGGATATATTCGTATTTCCAACAATGAGGTGGATTAAGTTGAGTGCGCGTTCCAAGAAGAACAAGATATATTTGTACAAATTCACCTGTGTGACAGAACTAAATATTGTTTCTGAGCTGATGGGAGTAGGTCATCTTGTTGGAAACAAACCAGTGGTGGCTCATTCTGATGATTTGATGTATTTATTCAGTGCCATACAACAACCTATACTGGACATGAATTCTGAAGAATTCAAACAGATTGAGGTAGTGACAAAGCTGTGGAGCAATTTTGCCAAATATGGGTAAGTGTAATTTATTACCATTATTATTGTAGTCTTTTATTGTAGGACTTCAATATGCAGCCTGCCTTGAATTGCATTATGCAGTTATTTTGCCCTTTCTTTATTCATTTTATCAAATGTAACGTGGTTTGATGTTTTTTTAGCAACCCTACTCCAGACGACTCATTAGGTGTCGTATGGGCTCCATACTCCTTAGAAAACCAAGATTATCTGGACATTGGCAACGATTTGAAAACTGGACAGGCACCAGATGATGAAGAAATCAAATTTTGGGAAAATCTGTTGACAGAATTTGGAGAAAAGTTGTATTAAATACGCTATATTGTATTGCAATGCTATTTATCTTTTATTTATTTTAAATACTTTTGTTTAATCACAGATCCAGTTTATAATCCTGTTGAAGCAATCGCATACTATTGTAAAATTTGATAAAACAAGTAAACAGATAATTTTGTGAGCATTTGCAATTTATTGCTTTATCTTCCTGAGCATCAAAAAAACATGTTACATCATTACAATATTAGTCACTCCAACGTACTCACGGGTTTCGCTGTTTTGAGCTAGATAACGACATATATTATCATATAGATTCAAGATCAAGACACAGAAGTATTGACAGATTTTGTATGGTAACTTCCGTGAGATATTAAATTTAGTGAAAATAACGCCTTACCCACTCGATTGAGAAAGAAGAATGAGAAAAGTCCTATTGGTCAGGAATAAGAGTCTCGTGGTAACATTTTATTGGTAGGACTTTCAGGAATAATCTAGGAGTCTCGTGAAGTGACTAGTAAGTTGTTATATTCAATCAATTTAAGCATTTAAAGTCTTAGGATGGCTACATAATTTCAATGGTATTTCTTTGCAACCTTATCAAACTCATTACTCCTCTGATGTGGGATCTCTACATACACGGTGTGGAACTTTTATACAAGGTGTATACGTTATTTGGACTTGCCAATCCGACACTAGAGTCTTCCAAATCAGCGGCTCCTTCCTAACCTGGGGGGCCAGACACCTCCTGCCAAAGGTTGTATTGGGGGATTGTGCGATCCATGGTATGGAATGCGTGCAGCGTGCTCTGGTCGCGTCCCAGTCGCGTCTAGTCGGTATCCGACCATTCGGATAATCCGCGGCTATCGCACGGCTTACGGCTTACGGTTACTGGCTGTGACCCCGACTTTTGAATTGGTTTTTAGTGGCATTCCGTTTTCGAAGTAACACTTCAGACATGTTCTATGGCATATATATGACCGTTCTTGTATCGCATTTTTGCAGGAGTATTATGTTACTATGCCTGCTTATGCGCCTTTCTGATGCAACTATTCAAATGACTCATCTATTTCATCAGTTTTTGGAAAGACCAATTAATTTTAATTTATAATTGTAATAACAACTTGCTTTGATAAGATTACGTTACATCACATATCACGTTTAACGATACCTACCTAAATAAGACAAATATATCTAGCATTGATTATAATCTTTGATAACATGGCTGTCAGAAAGCAAGTACATTACCTTGATTTGATTTAAGTGCGGGAGAGCCATGTTTCAAAACAAATGGGCTGGCAGAAATGGAGTTGTAGTATGACCTTTCGGGGAACTGGCGTGACAGAACGCTTTTGTTGTGCTTCGTCATGTGAGTGAGGTTCCTGGAGTCCAATTCCTTACAAACAATTTCGATATTCCCAAAATCTCTATTTTGCCCGTTCCCAAATGGACTACACAAACTTTAGTAAGGAAGAGCCATGCTTCGGCAGGATTGGGTCGGCTCGACCGAAGTGGTACCACGGCCTTACAGAAAATCGACGTCAAACAACCACAGCGTTGTGTTTCGCCTGTGAGTGAGGTAACCGGAGGCCCAATCCTTGTTGATAAATGGAATAAAATCAAAGTCAAATCGTTTATTTCAACTAAACTATTTCAACTTTTGAACATCAAAACGAAGATTAACTGAGGTAAAAAAAAGGACAGCCCGTCTTTCAGTCTTCTTAGTGATGCTATTTGCTCGTTCTAAATTGTTGATTTTATGGAGAAGAACCGGCAATACAAATGAAATCTACAAATCAATCAAAATATCTTGTCCTGTGTTACTGCATCAATTCTGTTATCGACATTGATAAAGATAACAGTTTCATGATAACTTACTTTTAATATTTCAACAATGTTCAGAAAATAAAAACAATGATAAAATATAAGCTAAGAGTGGAAATTATGCCTAGATAAGAGAGAGTACAACGCGATACATTTTTTTTTTGGTGTCGGGTTGGAAAATCCTCATGGAGACCCATCGCCCTCGGGGAAGGGCGAAGGGTACTGTCAGACTCTTACTGACTAAAAACCAACCCGGTGTTCCTCCACTTACCCATGTGTCTTAGGGGTGGGTATCGCCGAAGCATTTGTCGCAACCCCCCGACGGGTATTGGCCCACCAGATGGTTTGGCGGGCCCCGTCACCCAGTGCGGGAGGGGAGAGAGGAGGTAGCCTCTCTCTACCTTTCCGCCGCCTCCTTTGCGAGCATCACGGCCTCGCAGAAGTTAGCGACAGACACATTCAGCTTGTGTCTTCGTTAAACGACATCACCTGATGTCTTTCTATCTATCCCTTGATATGGGATTGTATTTTGGGAGCTCTCGCAACTGGTAACTAAGCTAAGGCTAGTTCATAACGGATAATATCGCTGAGTCTGTTAAAATCAGTTAAGTATGTGGCTTACACGTCTATAGCAAATAAGGGCATGGTGTCTCATTAAGACCTGTGGACCTGTTCTGTGGGATTCTGAACATTAAGTACCTATATATTTTGTAAGAAAAGTTTAAAAATAAATAAAGGATATTTTAGCTTTGTCCCTTATGTTTCTCTTATTAGAGATCACATGGCACAATCTTGAAAAGAAATATAAGTATAACCAATCCACCAAATCGATTTTTCATTTTCATATCCATAGCAGCGTCATCTTTATTCACAGAAACACGAATTGTAACAAGACAATGGTATAAGTAGTGATAAATGCAATCACACGAAGCGGCAGTGACGCGTCCACTGCGAACAATCCGCATATTCGCAGTTTCTTGAAGGTCGCGTCTTGAACACGCAGGATGTTTCTGCAGAAAGTTTTTTGGTTTGCTGTGGAAATAATGATAAACATTAGGAATTAAAAAGCACTTAAAATTAAATGTAAGAATATCAAACAACAGATTTTATTATTAGGGATAGGGATATTATGAAAGAAAACCAACTGTGGAGAAACACAAAAGTTTTATATTACATTCTAACCTGAGCTCCTTTCCGAAGCAGTCATTTGTGTACACATCCACTTGATTTCTTTAATTGCCGAGTAGTACTTCTCACACTCCACGCACAGAAATGTTATTATCAGAAGATTCTTCATCACCCATGTCAGAGATGAACACGTCAATAGTGTGTACTGGAATTGAAATAAACTTATTTTAAAATAACTCCCTTAAAACTAATCAGAAACGAAAGCACTGCACTCTCACCTTAAGTTCGTTGTTAGGAACTGTCGGTCTCAATTTTACTCGAACCCAAATGTCTAGTAATGAATTAGAACACGTATGTACCAAATAAAAAAGTATCTGAAACAAGAATTCGAAAAATTCATCGATTAAGATATAATTACACATTACTAGTTCCTCAGGACATTTCGCAAACAGCTCGACAAGCTTCAAGCCAATTAATGTAATGCAAATAATTCAATGCCAAACAACAAATGTGACTAAGTCGTATATTCCAATCAATCCACTAATCTAATACTACATACATACCATTGGTTCAAAAGTCTTCTCAACTATTTGAAAAACTTCAGTGATATCTACATAGCACCCAAACATGGCGCTCCAGAAGTTTTTATCCAGTGAATCACTAATGTATGTAGACATCTGCAGATTTGCCGTCAAAATTTTTAGAGAATCTGTCATTAGTCCTAAGCATCTTGTAGCGTAAATCGCATTAAAATCAAACCGAATGCACATGTATGCAGATATGATGATGAGAATATCTAATTCTTTGAAAGCAAAAAATTCGATGAATGTCCATGAGACGTGGAAGCAGTTGATGGCAAGCACACAGACCCAGTTATATACAATGGAGCGCTTAAAACAAGTCTTGTCCAACTTGAGGACTCTGTGCACGTTTTGGATCTTCAAAACGTACAGCACGTTATTATATTTCTGCTTCAAGTTGAAAAACACGTTAACAAACCCCCCGATAGAGAACAAAACAAAGTGATAGTTGAGTAAAAAGAAATGTTCAAAGTCGTCCTCAATAGTTCTATGTTGTGCAAGGAAAAAGATACTGTAAAGGTAGACTTCAATAAGAAAATAAAAAATGACGGACACAGCGCTGTATAACCGACTAATGGGCTTGATGACCTGCCCCTTGACTCTGTACTTAGCGCAGAAAAATACGTTTTGTATAATATTTAACGGTCTTAGAGTCGATTTTAAGTAAGGTTCGATAATATTGTCTCTCTCATTTTCATTTGTTTCATGTAATGGTGATGGCTTTCCCTGATCTATTAAGATATCAAAACTGGAATTTCGATGACATTCTGTTAAGGATGACATGTTTAAATTACAGACTGAGGAAATAGCATTAAGTAAACTGGGCAACTGATAAATATGCACATTATAATTTGTAATATATAAAAAAATCAACACGTTTGTCCCAAAAACTTTCAACGATGCTGACCTCGAGCAAAACCAAATAATACTCGTCCATTACTAAAATTAATTTCTAGTAAGTAGTCATTCAGTAGTCACCTATTTACTTAAACATGAAATTAATTGGTTGCAGCAAAACTATTGATTGTATTTTTGTCCTTGAATAAGTTTTGACCGTTTTAATACATTTGAAACTACGTGTTTTAATGTTTTGATCAAGCTTTTGAAGAAATATGATTCTTTAAGAACATACAGGATTAAAAGCATGCATGAGTTACATTCTCTAAGCTAAAAAGACTTAGGGTCACAGCTCGTTAGAGCAACCCGGCCTACCCTGCACTGCCTCGTCGCACGGTGTCCACTCGTTGGTGACAGGTAGTTCGCGGGGGACCTCGCTTTATCACTAATAGACGTCCCGCGGTCAACCGGTGGACCACGTGATTAGAGCCATCGAGAGCGCAGATAATTTTCTAGTAGTCTGTTAATAATTGGCACTAGGACAGCGCATGGTCCACTCGGGAACCCCGTTTTAGTAATGCCCAGTCAACACAAGCTAAATTCTAGCAGCGAGTTGTGCCCATGTGGTTCACCGGTCGTCCGTGCGTAAAACGGTTATGACCGAGGCGTTCTGGTGACGCTACGGAGTTGATATACTAAGCTCATGCCCAAATAAGACCATGTAGAGAATACTAGCAGTAGGAGGCGAGTCGATGTGGAGTAGGTGACGTAAATGAGCTGTGACATTTAACTGTTAAACGGGATTTACAAGGAAACTGCAAATAACAAATAAACCAAGTTTAATTTTAATAACATAGGTAAGTACTATTCTCCAAGATTCTGTAAGGTTGACCACTGTGGATTTAGGGTATACTTCTAATTGGTGGAACGACCACTTTTTAGGATCCAGGCTAGTCAATGACTCATTGTCAATGATGATAATGATCATGCGAATAGTTTATAGGAACACGAATTGTAATAAAACAATAGTATAGGTAGTGATGAAAGCTATTAGACGTAGAGGCATTGACGCGTCCACTGCGAACAGTCCACACACTCGGAGTTTCTTGAAGGTCGCGTCTTGAACACGCAGGATGTTTTTGCAGAACCTTTTTTGATTTGCTGTGTGTCATAATTTAATACTATTATTGTAATATAAACAAAAGGAGTAATAGTTCATAGAGT